TTAATCTTTTAATTAACAAATTATGGCACTACATGAAAATTAAAACTGCACCTTCCTTGCTTTCACTGATGCAAATTGGTCTATGATGTGCTTAAAGTCGGTTTTTTCAGTTTCTTCTCTTTCTACACTCAACAGAGCAAGATCACAGAGTCTGTCTTGACCCATGGAGTCTCTCAAATACGAAAGTATTAGTTTTAACTTGCTGAATGATCTCTCATAGTTGGCGATGGAAACTGTGATGGTTAGAATTATCTGAATAGCAATGCAAAGATTGGGGAAGACACACTCATCTCCATACTGAACAATAAATTCGAGAAGCTCTTCAGGTCTTGATATTTTCATGTTGGCCCAACTTGATAGCAACATTCTGCAATCCAAAATTTCTTCATATAGCTGCTGTCCATCAACATCAGAGTTGTACAATTTGCCCAAATTTTCGCACTTATGTCAGAGCCATAACACAGTCCCTCGACATCGAGAAGGAACCCAAACTTGGTGTCAGTGTCGTTCAAATGAGCGACTCTTTCATCCATTTTTCTGTGAAGACAGTCGAGTGTTCCCTTCATGACTCTTTCGATTTCTTCCTTGGCTGTTAACCCAGCGTCTCTCAAGTTCTCATCAATCATTCATTTTTTTCATCTCTGATGTCTTTCAACTTCAATATTCCATTCTTGACAGAGACCAAGTCCTTCTTCAAGTGACTCACTGAACAACACTTCTCTTTCATCATCAAAATGATCTCGGAGGGCTTTCAAATCAAGAGCAGCATCATGGAAGTTCATGCAAGGATCCTGCAGCCTCTTTTGAATGCGGTCAATGCGAATGAGTACCTTGTTCCAAAATCTTAGCAAAGTCAGAAAATCATAACTCAACATGCATCACTTCTTGTTTCACTGGTATTGTTTTCATTGTCTATCTTGTCCTGAAGAACTTGAAGTATCTCCTCAAGGTACTTGTTGATGGGCTTCACTGCTTCTGTCCTTGCACTCCACCTGATTTTGTAATGCAACTTAACAACCACAGGCACGGCATTTTTGAGTTTTTCCCAGTGCTGTGTTGAACGAGAGAAGAACACGTAGAGAGCTTTGATGATTCCAAAAAATGTGACCATCATTGTATCCTGCTTGGCTACATGTACACCCACCAAGTTGAGAGAGTGATTGTCGCAATTCACAAACACTGCCAGGTTGTTTTTCTCATATATTCCTTGATGAACACCACTTCTGTGTCCAGCCGTAACAGCAGCATTGTCATAGCACTGTGACCGACAATCTTTATATAAGTGGTTTAACAATCCGGCCATCCTAGTTCTTCTCACCCAAGATAATCAAAGACAGATCATACATTAGAAGAATATTCTTTTTTCACTATTTAAGGATGGCTTGTCTAACTTTAATAGAAACTGCTCAGTGGCACCCAGGATACGTACCATACCTGCCATATCTTAGGTACACCACTGATTGCTCCTTCTAACTGTGTCTAATTACTAGTACTAGTATTATTTGTGCCATTATAATATAAGTTGTAAATCACTAAGGGATTGTGTGGCTCACATTACGCTGTTGAATTACATTACCCAAGAGCTACTCCGAGCTGCTCGCATGCATGCATGCATGCCTTGTGAAAAAATTTTATTATATTATTATTTATTTTACTTAATCTAACCTTAACTCACCTAAAAAGTTTCTTGTTTTTACATTTTAGTTCTGTAGTGACCATGTACTTTTTCTGATAGTGTTTAGCATGTAGTACAATCTGATATATTACAATTCCATTTATATCATGAAATATGTATCTGCATTAAAAATAAAAACACCTACCTACTCTATTTTCAAAGACTTAAAAAAATACCTACCCAATTTATTTTCAGCATGTTATAGGAAACAAAGCATTTTTCTTTCTAGGCCTTATACCAGAATTATTCATTTTGTGTATGAGTAATGATGTTTATACACAACTTGTCACATTTTGTGATAACAGCTTTGATATAAAATACTTTTTTATAATTGTGGCAAGAAAAATTGCACAGGAAATCCTCATTATTGGCTTAAAATTGCTTTACAGCTTGGGAATAGTTTATTTATTAAAACATAAATCTGTTGCTTTTTTTACTCTTGGTTGTCAAACCTCTGGGAAGGAATACTCACAACAGTTAATAATGAAGGTCATATGTAAACGTTGTAAAGCCCCTTTGATTTATAATTTGTGATCAATTATTTTTGCTTATACATAGCAGCACACACTTGTACAAGGTAAGTCTTTGTGAATTTTTGTAGTTGTTACAAAATTGTGTTGTCTGTGTGCATAGTTGTAGTTTTAACACATAAACTGTGTAGTCTATGTGCATTGTTGTAGTTTTAACACACAAGCTGTGTAGTCTGTATGCGTTGTTTAGTTTTAACACTTTAAACATATTTTAGAAAACTATCATTATTCAAGAATTGAAAATAATGTCTTCTAGACAGAAGTACATTTTATGCTAACAGTAGATCTAAAAAGAAAAGTGAATTATTGTACAAATAAAAAACAAATTGTTTAGTAAGGTACCATACCTGAAGGTGATGATCTGAAATACATGAAGGATAAATTACAAGTGCAAGTGAAAGGAATTAAGAACATGTTCAGCCATTACCTTCTGATAAGGTTTGACTTACATTAGTATCAGAAAGTGGATTAGAAGACTGGTTGTTAATGATGACTGAGAAGTTAAATTTCCTGGTTTTCCTTAAGATTTCAAATGGATATATAAAGGTGAAACAAATTTGTCATGAAGCATTTAAACTAGGTAGTTTATCTGCATTTTATTTCCTTTTACCAAATAATGTTCAATATGAAATAAAATAGATTAATTTATTTGTGTCCCTAGGGGTGTAGAAATATGCTTAAACAAAATAAGATTACCCGAACAAAAATAAAACTTGTTTAGGAGCCCTGGATTTGAAATCAACAAACCAAGCCACAGACTTTCTACCTAATTTAGGTTTGCTAGGTTTTAAAGTTGATAACAGAATTATGTTTTCTGAAAATTCCTTAAAAGTCTTACAAATGTCAAAATTTTTGCATCTGGGATTTGCTGGTCAGTTAAAAGACTTTGAATGTGGTAACCATTTTTTATATTTAGAAAATTGCATTAATTTCTAATTTCTAAATATATCTAACCACAAAGATATATTATGGTAACCAAAAGTGGTCTTTTAAATGCTTTACAGAAAATGTGTGTTAAGTGTAAGTTATAGCTATTAATTCAATATTTAACCAACATAAGATACTTAAGGTGTTTGAACAGATCTAATACTTCAATAATGAACTTGTACTTACACTTTATATTATATGCATGAGTTGAATTGCATCATTGCTTTTCCAAAGTTGTTGTTAAGTTTATCAGATTTTATTATTGTTTGTGTGTATATATATATATATTTCTTCTTTTTTTTTTTCAGATTGCTGTTTATGTATTGCTTAAAATGGAAAATGTTGAAATGGAAAAATTTATACATACTCTTAAATATGGAAAACTAAGTGGGTCTTGTAAAATTGCACAATTAGCTCTGCAAGTTTTAGAAAATCATGTAATCAGCAGTATGTGGCTCACTGCTTATGATCTCTTAACATCACTGAAAGTTGTGGGAAAAAGTATGATTGATGCTCAACCAACAGAAAATGCTGTAGGAAATGTAGTTCGAAGAGTGCTAAAAATTGTTAGAGATGAATATGCAAGTGCACTTGGAAAACATGCTGAAGGAGACCCTCAAGAATCTCTTCAGAAGATGTTTCAAGCAAAGGGAAGAGATGACAACTACAGGAAAGAACTTCCAGCACTTAAAGAAGCTATTGTTGATAGTTTGGAAGAGCTTAAAAGGGAATTGGAAACAAGCAAAGATAACATTGCAGAAAAATCTCTTGAGCATATCCACTCGGATGAAGTTATCATGACAATAGGGCAGTCTATGATTGTCAAAACTTTTCTAAAATATGCTGCTTGTCGAAAAAGACTATTTCAGGTGATAGTTGTAGAAACTCCATCACTTAGTGGCCACTTACTAGCTAAAAATCTGGCAGAAAGTGGCATTGAAACTACTGTAATTACAGATGCAGCTGTATTTGCTATTATGTCTCGGGTCAATAAAGTAATTGTAGGAACCCACAGTATCATGGCAAATGGAGGCCTAAAAGCCATAAGTGGAGCCCATACGCTTGCTCTTGCAGCAAAACGTCAGTCAGTCCCATTTATAGTTTGTGCACCTATTTTCAAACTGACACCTCAGTATTTATGTCATTATGATCAAGATGCCTTTAATAAGTTTGGTTCTCCACAGGAAGTCACAGGGTTAGGTGGAGGGGAAGTGTTTGGTAAGGCTCAAATTATTAACCCTGTATTTGATTATGTTCCACCTGAACTTGTCACATTATTTATTTCAAACATTGGTGGGAATGCTCCATCATACATGTACCGTTTACTCAGTGAACTTTATCATCCTGATGATTATGAACTTTAATTTGTGGTATTAGAAATACACATGCATCATAAATGTCAAAGATTGAGTTGATTAGGCTTCTTCAGTTGATGTGCATATCTTTAAAAAAACCAAAAAACCTAGTAACCATGGAACCATTTTTTACTTTTTAACTTAATAAATATGGGTGTACGTAGCCATGTCTAGAGTAATAGTGCATAAATTAGTTATGGGTAGGTTGAATTGCATTTAGCTTGTGGGATTAATACATGTTTTAACAGGCCCTGGTTATAGACTCTTATACATACAGCCGTGAATTTTCCAAATTCTCTGTGTTAACAAGACTTTTTCCAAGTTTTCCTGTGAACAATAATCTCATTCACATTAAGTTAAAATTCTTTTGATTATTTTATATAATAACAACTGGAAGTACCTACATATGTATGAGTAATTTAATTAAAAAGATTTTCATGCATAATGTTCCATTGTTTTGGTGATATTTAGGTGATTTCTTGAAGTTTGAAGATATTTGATATCAATCCATCTGATTTATTTGGAACCCCATGTACAATATGAAATTTAAGTTACATTTTGAAGTATGTTTGGATTTTACATGTTAAACAAACATTTAAAGTTTAAAAATGAAAAACATACTTGTTTATACTTGATACATATATAAACTAATAATGAAAGTCTTCCGGATATATCCGGAAATCCGGATATTTCTAAAAAAATCCTGAAAACCTCCGCTTTTCTTCCGGAGAAACACATTTTTTAAAATTATTTATCGGATTTTGGTGTTCCATGCCATAAATAAGCGTTTATGCAATCGTGCGGTTTGTTTACATTCGGCGAATGAGTTTGA